TGCGTCACGTAGCAGATGTACGCGCTACGCGCTTCGAGCCCCAGTACGACTCGCGTCTGACGAGGCGACTTTGCCCTCGGACGGCGACGGCGACGCCAAATCGTATCCGATTGCCACAAAAGAAGCATCGACGGGAGGCGATGTCGTTGATGAACGAATCCCGTGGTATCCGAAGCCGAGAAGAGCACTCGATCGCGCCATACATGCCATACCAATCGCGACCGTCAACAGCACCTGCTCAACTCACCTCGTAGGTAGGTCCAGCGGGTCCGGCCTTCTTGGCGGCGGAAGCCTTCTTGGGAGCAGCAGCAGCAGCAGACATTCTGGATATTGCTTGAGTGGTTCGTTGAAGGTGTGAAAGACCTGAGTTGAGATGAGGTTGAGTTGTTGAGTTTGCAATGCGATGAGGTATCTAACAGGTTGCTAGAGAGGGTTGTGGATGGGAGGTTAGAACGAGCTACGAGCGGGGGCGCACTTTGAGCGCAACTTTGAGGCGCGCGCCCTTGGCACTCGTCTACGCTTTTTGATCGAGCTCGACGCGTCGCACACTGCTCTGATGCCTGCATCCCACCTCCATGCATGCAGGTGCGCACGCATGCATGCATAGCAATTATCGACGAGCTACGCGGCGTTGCGTCGTGGCGCCATGCAGCAGCACGCACGAGCGCGCATCGCCCGCTAAGCGCGCCAGGCTCTTTTGGCCCACGGCGAGATCAGATCCACTTTCCGCTGTGGCCCAGCAGCGTCGCAGCACTCAATAATGACCGCACACGGATGCGAAAGGCGTATCTTTGTGGAGTATACACGTGACTTTGAATACAAGTCGTTCCAACACATTACAAAAAGTGTTGCTCGTCGCGGTGTCGGTATATCCAAAATCCAAATGGAATTCGGATTCAATCAAGGCGGTGAAACTACTGCCCTTCACAGGGCCACTCTACACTTGAGCAGCTGGAAAACAAGTCAAAGTCATCGTTGGCACCATCTTCACAAGCACTGACAGCAGCGTCGCGAGTCTTTCCCTTCGCCTCCGAACCACCCTGCTTTGAGCGTTCGTGGGACTGGCTTCTGTTAAAGGAGTTGGAAAATGCCTGTTTTGCTGATTGGTGAGCCCTGCTCAGTCGCGTGACGCTTGCCGCGGAAGCAAGCCAGTGCTCGGACAGCACGTCGCTACAGCCAACCGCAGTATCAGGGACTGCGCGCCTTGGCTTTTCCACAGGTCACAATTAACAACCAGTCAAGGGTGAATGAAGGCCAGCAATGGAGGACACAGTCTCATGATCAAGTTGTTGAAACGCGGGTCGGTGCTCTTGGGCCACGGCCATGCATGGGCGCGTGCGCGTGCGCGTGCTGCGTTTTCGCGGCGCAGCTGTAGAGCCTTGGCGCGGCCGGGCCGTTTGTGGCCCAGCAGCACGCACGAGCGCAGCGCCTTCATCCTGCGAAAGTCGCACGTATGGCATGCACGCGGTACGCTGTGTGTATACAGCATGCATCAGCAGTCACAGTCACGGGTAATCCGTACCGTAGGGGCACGCACGTGTGCGTACCTATCAAACTCACGACTGACAGGAAAGCAAGCATACTCACGACTCTTGACTGCTTGGTCTGCAATCCATTCGTGCAAGCACGAGTAATTGTAAAGTCAGTTGGGTGTCCTGAGTCACTCATCCAAGCCTCTGGTGTGCGTGAACAGCATCATCACATTGTGCGCTGCTTGGACCCACTCTCAGAATGCAAAGAGCTGCCTGGTATGTCTGGCTGTACTCGATCAAGAATTTGGGCGTCCGCGCGAAACGGCGTGTCAATGTGCGAGTACCTACTTGCCCGTGGTGATGTGTGCACACCGTACGGCGTTCGTGATTGTGCAGGTTTGCGAGTGATGCTGTACAGTCTGCTGTGTACTCCCTTGGTAGCATGTAGACGCTGTCACGCGGCCGCAGTCCGTCATCGTCATGCCCGCGTGATGTGCGGCAACGCTCGTTCTGCGGGAGATGCTTGCTAGGTTGCGCCAGAGCGTGTCCTCGGTGAGCGCAATCAGAGTTCTGGAACGTGTTGCGATGGTGCAAGTACATTCACGATTTCAAGCTTGTGCCTGTTCCCGGATTGCAGCAATGTCGATGATGCTCTTCACCTCCACAATCTTCAACTCCGAAGACAATCGATAAAAGACATTCTCCTCGAACCTGATCGTACGTCCGTTGACCCTCGTCTCGAATATATCTGCGGTGGGCGTGCATTCGAAATGAATGATCGCCGCTACGCTGGCCTGTTCTTCATCGACGAGCAGCCGTGTGACGTTAAAAGTCAAATCTGGGATTTGTGCAACATTCTCTTCCAGCATTGCTCGATAGCCATTCAGACCGAAAGGTCGTCCATTGTGCACGGCTTGCGCGTCCACGTACGCGCCCAAATCTGACCAGCGACGCTCATTGAGACAGCAAATGTAGTCTGTATAACGTGCTTTCAGCCTGTCCCGTCCCGAAAGCCGGGTGCCTGCTGCCTCCATTTCGCTTCAAGTGTATTATCTATGCGTCGTTCACTCAGCTGAGGTGTTGACGTCTGTTGGGGAAGTCAAGCATTAACGTTGGGGCACAGATCAGATTCACAATAGACCACAAACAGGCTTACAAGGCGGAAGTCTCCATGAAAGCACTCACGCACCAAAAAGCCCTGCTGCGTAGCCGTGATAGGTTGCCGTAGTCTCTGCATTTATGACTTCAAAATGGCAATGGTGTTCAACAAGTACACGGCATCTGAGATACTCGAGCGTCCATACCGTTCCACCGTTACCTCTCGCGAGTGCGGGAAAGTGACGGTGATATCTCATGCTCCCAGGTCTTAACGCCGGACACGAGTCACGTGACCGCTGGTTCCTTTCGACAGAAAAGCCATCCAGATCGTGAGGCTTACAGATCAAGACCTCTTCTGACTCACGAATTCACCAGAACCGAATTGGCGACCGCCTCACATTTCGCTGCAAGAGATTTCGCAAGCGGCCTAGGTCACACTCAGAACGAATCTCGCGCCGTCGAAGCCTATGCGAAGGACGAGCACATCGCCACGTGAGCTGTAAGCGAGAGCAAGGATCGCGCGTCCGCACAACCTTGAATTCAACAAAGCAGCGGCGCGAACAGCTTGCGGTGTGCAACATGTCAACCCTTGATCAGCCTTGACCTCCTGGTATTCATCGAGGGGTGAAAATGACAAAATTGCAAAGGACAGAAAGAAGAGCCAACGAGGTGGGTGTGGTCCAGCAGGACGAATTGCGCAGAATTCTAGAGGTCGTTGCCAGCTCTAGCCAACCGCGCGACCGGCTCTCGCCTACGTTTTCTTACTTGCCGAAAAGGCTGTCCAAGTCCGCAAAAGGATCGGCAGGCTTGGTAGAAGCGGACGTCGCGTTCGGAGGCGCGGGAGCGCCAATACCGGGCTTGCTAGGCGTCAAAGCTGCCTGTCCGGACTTTGGCAGCGCCATGGCCCCATTGGGACCCGCTGCGGCGGTGGAAGAGGTAGAAGAGACGGGGAGCTGCAATGCTCCCCAATCTCCGAAGCTGGGAGGAGGAGCCCGGGATTGCGCTGCTGCCTGCGGTTGGGCATCAAACGAAGTGACTGTTGGGCTCAAACCGAGCAGGTCGGGCGGTAGCATGCCCGCAGACGTAGTGATCGGTTTGGCCGTGCTGCCTCCAGATGGCGTACCCGGGGCCGCAGC